GTGTGGGGAGGGAGGGATGAAGGCTGAGTTTCATCCTGAGCAGCAGCAGCTCCCGAGCAGGGCAGTGATGGCTTTGTTCTTCCAGAGAGACCTGTGGGCTCCAGCCCATGGCTGTGGACTACAGCTCCGTGATTCCAGGATACAACTCCACAGCAGATGGCTCTAGCCAAGAGGATTCTACTAATGGCACAGAACGTGTTGTGGGTGGCACAGGTGTCCAGCCAGGGGCCTGGCCTGGGATTGCCAGCATCCAGGTCACTTTGAATAATGGTACATGGCACGTCTGTGCAGGATCACTCATCCACCCCCGGTGGGTGCTCACAGCCGCCCACTTCCTCAGCACAGGCAGGTAAGGACAGGCAGAGAACAGGGATGTCCCCAGAGGTCTGGCAGGTGCCCAGGCTGCAGCACCATGTGCTGTCCCATCCCTTCCCTTTCCTCTCTGCTTCCCTCTCAGCCTTGGGAAGCAGAGGGCTGGGAAATGCTGGGCTGCCACAGACTGTGGCTCTGCGCCCTCTCATCCCTCTCTCCATCTCACCCCAGAGATGTCATCAACTGGGATGTGGTGATCGGGGCCACCAACCTGGCCCATCTAGGCCCCGAGACCCGGGTGCGCAAGATCCAGAGGGTCCTGGTGCACCCACACTATGTGGCTGCCACGAAGAGCAACAACATCGCCTTGGTGGAGCTGGACCAGCCCGTGGAGTGCAGTGAATACATCCAGCTGGGCTGTGTGCCTGACACCTCGCTGAGAGTGATGGAGCTCAGACACTGCTACATCGCGGGCTGGGGAGTCACCTCGGCCAGAGGTGAGTTCCCAGACAGGACTTACCCCTGAGGGCCACCTGGGCACCCCAGGAACACGGCTTGGGCTGTGTGGGGAGGGAGGGATGAAGGCTGAACAGCCTGGGAACAGCAGAGGCCAAAGCAGAGGCAGCTGTAGGACATGTCCCTCTTCAGAGAGGGGCCTGGCCTCTTCCCCAGAGCCGACCGCAGGGACACGGCGGGGTGACAACGCTCCAGGGGCAAAGCCACGCCCTGGGAAAGGGCTTCAGCCCCAGGCAGGGGAGGGCAGGGGACCCCGAGCTGCTGGGGGCTCACTGCTGTCTGTGCCCACAGCTCACGGCCCAGGGCTGGTGCTGCAGGAGGCCAAGGTGCGTCTCATCGATGTGCAGCTCTGCAACAGCAGCCGCAGGTACGCAGGGGCCGTCAACCCCCACAGCCTGTGTGCCGAGTACCCGCGGGGCGGCGCCAACACCTGCCAGGTAGGAGCGAGCCGGGAGACCCCAGCCAGGCAGCGCAGGGGCCCCCAGCCCCCAGACACAGCCTGGCATGGGCTGGGGCTGCCCAGTTGTCCTCCCAGTCCTGGGCATCTGCTTCTGCTGGGACTGTGCTGCCCTTCCCCATCCATGTGTCCCTGACCCATGTCCCACATCTGTCCTTCCCCATCCCTGTGTCCCTGCAGGCTGACAGTGGGGGTCCCCTCACCTGCAAGGACAACAGTGGTGACTATTTCTGGCTCGTGGGAGTGACCAGCTGG